GGAGAGAATTTAAGATTATCTTACTGTGTTTGTAGATAGGGCAAAAGGATTAAGCGTTTTGAACGATGAAACTATCGTATAAAACCACGCGTGCTTGACCTATTACAACTTTTGTTTACTGGAAGGCTTGCTCTCCAGTTTTGTGTTGCTAAGCGGTATCCAAGCACGTGACCACTAGCTGCAAAGGGCCTTAATTGGTCCCTTTTTCCGCACATATCATGATAAAGAACATGATATGAACCACTTTTATACCTCAAATGGCGGACGAAGAAAGGATTCCTGTGAGCGTTTTTAATTCCGAAAATCGCAGTTTCTATCTAAACGCTTTGATCATATGATTATATGCCGTAGTTTATCAAGAAAACGAAACAGATGAGTAACACGATGTCCGATAGAAGGTAAATGGTCAAGTTTTCAGTCTGATTCGGACAAAAACAAGTCATCGAGTACTATAAAAAAACAGAGAAGGAAATAAGTTATTATTGTATTGTTTTCTTGTTCCAAGTCTATTTCAAGATTCTGAACTTGAAAAGCTCATCGATTGTCAAGATATTAATCAAGTAAATATAGTCATGGGACGTTACTTATAACCACAGGCTAACCACTCTAATAAATGAAGGAAATACTAAATGATGTCTTGTCTTTGTCTTTTTATGCACGCGCGCTATCTCACCTACCCCCCTTGGTAACAATTTTGTTTTTCTACTATACAATATACTAGTATATTGTATAGTAGCTGTATAGTAGAAAAATAAAATTGTTACCAAGGGGGGTAGGTGAGATGACAAAAAATCGATAGCGCGCGCATAAAAAGACAAAGACAAGACACCATTTAGTATTTCCTTCATTTATTAGAGTGGTTAGCCTGTGTTATAACCGAGTGGCTATTTGTACGTCACCCGTACGGCGACTAGTATTTTGCTCCCGGATTTTGCTATTCGTACGGGAGTCAAAAATTTCATCGATTTTCTCAGGAACTCTGTATTCTTTTCCAGCCTAAAAACGATATTTTTGTTTAGGCCAGTTAGGCGATTCATGTCAGTGATGTTATTTTGATTCAACTTATTAGTTATATCTGACGAGTCTGTACTCAGTAGCGAGCAACTGACTTTCGCGTCTTAGAATTTTTTTCGTGTAGTCTGAGGTCAGTGTCACGGCAGGAAATGTCACGCAATAGAATTTGTGACAACTCCCGTATGAATTATTCACGATTGTTTATATTCATACTAACTGTGCTAACCCCTTCTCGAAGGCGAAGTGAATATCGGGAAATATTTACTCATTCCCGACAACTCGTCCCCGACAAACTGTTCCCAACAACTCATTCCCAACAACTCATCACCGACAATTCGTTCCTGACAACTTGTTCCCGACAACGTGTGACCCCTATCGGCTTCCATAAGAGTATAAATACACAGGTGAATATTTCAAAAAAAGAAAAAAAAGAAGATGAAAGACACATTTAAAGTTAGGAAAAATTTTAATTGAAGTGACAAGCGTGGCTTTCAATTACAACACAGGCGAACTCCGACTTTGCGAATCAAAACAGTTTGTTTGAGCTTATTTGATTGTTTTAAGTCCGAACAAAGTTAGTGCAAATTTGTTAGCCTCTTTAGTCCTTTTGGAAACAGCATTTTCTTTCATTATTTCTAATTTCTCTCCAGTAACAGCAACAAAGCGGCGGGCCGCCATTTTGGATTATCGCTGGATGTGATTATCGTGTGATAGTGTGAGCTTCTCGACCAATTAGCATGCAAGATTTTCAATAATCACCTGTGTATTTTTACTAAACCAGCATATTGGGCAACCCAGTGCACACTCCAAGAGCGTCTTGTTTACACAGTCTTTTTAATTTTTAAAAAAATTGTTCATTTAAAGTGTATTTACATTTGATATAAACATCAATATAATACATAAATATCACCCATATGAGGGAGTATTTAAATACCAAGCCGCAAGTTTTGAAGCAGCCAGCTAGGTAAATATATAGTTCCCCATATTCACTGAGCTTAAAGTGAATATATAATTGTTTTGGTATAATTTTAGACTTAAACATCAGAGAAGTTTTGAAGCAGCCAGCTAGGTAAATATATAGTTCCCCATATTCACTGAGCTTAAAGTGAATATATAATTGTTTTGGTATAATTTTAGACTTAAACATCAGAGAAAAGACAAAATTGAGGATAGAAACGTTTTAGTATTACTACTGCTCTACTGGCTTGGGAAACCTCATAATAGAGTCCCTGGTTGCTCAACCAATCATGGCATGTGTGATGAAACTCTATATTCAAGTCTAAAATTACTAAAATTTGTTATATTTATAATAACTAGCTAATGCTTTTTACTGGAATAAAATTTTAAGCCATTCTGTATGGCTTAAGTCCATGCCAAGTGTTTGAAAAAAAAAACACTTTTTACTCTCGAATATATATACATAGCATGACATCATGGTACATAATATAAAATGTGCATAAATATTCCAATGCTGTTATATTAGTAGCAAGCACTAACAAAATAATATGCACTAGTCAATTGAAACCACACCCCTTAGACAGGGCAGGTGGGAATTTAACAATTCCCTTTACTGATCAAAATATGTACATTCTCTAAAACTGCACATGCATAAATAACTGGCCTGCAGAATAATGCTTGTCATATTGTAATTAATAATAATAATTAATGCATTATCATAATATACAAGAAAGCATGTCACTTAATTTCATTAGCCCTAGAAAAAACAAGCCATATACTACGGCTCTCACATGTGTTGGATACTAATTTCCATTTAAATGGTAAGCATGCATGGCAAGGATGGATTGAATATATACTACTATATAGGTTATCTTTAAAATATTTTGGAAGCCAGATTACACCATCCTATATATCCGTATATACACCATTTTTGTTGCAGATGCATGAATAAGGTGTCAACCCTCAAAAGCAAGATTGACTTCAAACTGGTACTCTAAAGAGTCAGCTCTACTAATAATCATTATACAATACATAAGACCAAATAAAAAAAAACCTGCAAAGTACAAAAGGGTGTCAAATCCTTAGCAGAATTTTTCCAATCCACCTTGCATAATATTTATTACTGAGCAAAAAGCCTAACTTTAATTTTAAAAGCATAACTATATAACAGTATACACAATAATAAGTCTTATCTTAGCTTGATAACTTTAATTTTTACAACACAGTTGTAGTGGATTGGAACGACGTTTTGTGGCGATGTATTTGTGTAGTACCCCTCTCATGCATTGGATTCCCCTCTCCACCATACCCCTGGATCCAATGTTTATCAAGTTCAGTAGAAATTCTAGAAAAATCCTCAGCTAAAAATTGTCTTATTCAACCCACTTCTTAAACTAGTATATTATTGTACGAAATATTCTTAATTTCTTATGTTTAATATATTACAAGTTGGCCAGTAATCTTATAGTGCAATTCAAACATCATCAAGTTGGTCATTTTGAGATTCTTGATCTATTTGGACTGCATCATTTATTTTAATTTCATTATTATAGAAATTATAGATAATATCAACAACGTCTTTTCTTCCCACATTTTCAAGGACCTTCACAAATTTCATAAGTGTTAACTCTGGCTTGAAAGATACAAGCTTTATCAACAGCTCCTCACCCTCATTTGTACCTTGCTTTTTACCAGCAATCCTGATTGCTTGTAACTCAAATTGAGTTAAATTGATCTGACTATCTTCTCCAATGGCCTGCCAGCCTTTGACAACTGGTGAGCTTTCGCTAATATAGTTGGTGACATCTGAACGCAGGGCTTGTGGAATAAGACTGAGTCGAAGGTCAATTGGCCATGGTGGAACTGGAATATTGAAGACAGAACATTAATCAGAGGTGGTACGTAATATATAATACATGCAATGAGCATGAGACTATTAAGAAATGGTTTTTGTGTGGAAATGTACATTTTTGTGCTCTTGAAATCTATTCACAAGTATTTGGCCATGCAATGAAATATATAATATATTATACTCTAGTGTTTTCAATTATTCCCAACTTTACAGTGCTAATTGAAAAACTGTGGGCACCTAGAAATATTTCAAGAATGTTTCTTAACCAATCAGAAGTGTTAATGTTATATTTCTGTTATGTTGTTAGAAAGTCAATTCTGATGGCCAATAAGCAATAGGATATTCCTTGTATATTTCTAGGTGCCCATGGTTTTTTCGATTCACACCGTAAAATAAAAATCATTCCAAAATTCAGCAGACATTTTAGCTATATAATAAATACCTAATGTTTTCCCAAACATTCTGGGAATTGGAAATCATTTCTGTTATATTTCATCATTATTTGTAAAAATAGTTTTGGTATGCCCCCACTTCGAGTTCACCTTTGCTCAGCCCTTAGCCTCGATGGTGTGCAAATGTATTATTTTCTTTTAATTCATGATATTAAGACCCACTATATAGTAAGGAATGTACATACTATGGAAAGTAAGATACGAGTTAATTAAAATTTCAGGGGTCTTGGTCGAATGGCTCAATATTTTAACACACAACCGAAGCTAAATTAAGGTTGAACTCAAAACTGGAGTTATTATATATATATGAATATCAGTAATTGTAAAAGAAATTCTTTAAACCTATTAAAATGCAGAAATCTGTAAATATATATTTATAACTGTCTAGTACGTATACAAAACAAAAAACATATACCAATTTCTTGGGAAGATCTGGGAGATGTACTATTTTTATCAGTTAATGCTATTTCCTCATCTTGATTCCTAGCATTGTTACGTCGGAAGCAGGCAACCTTTTTTAGGCAGCAGTACAATATAAATCCCACTGTTACTATGACAATCACTGTTCCTATGACAATCACTGTTACTATTATGATTTTGTTATCCCTGGAATGATCTTTGCTGTTTGATTGCCCATCTCTCCCAGACTTGTCAGAATGGATAGGCTTTGTAGTTGTAGTAGTTCCATGTGAATTCTTTTGTGTATTCTTGTGGATGGTTGTAGTCCCAGGTAATTGGGTGATCAGTTTTGCTGTATCTATCTGTTGAGAAGTGGGGTCCAAAACACAGTCCTCCACGGCATCATTCATGATGTACCCTACTCTGCAGTTGTTACTACAGATGGTATCGCTGTTGGGTGTGCAATTGCGTGAGGTTTCTCTACCACCACACTGACGACATGGCTGACAGGAGGCGATGCTATCTTCCTCAGAATAGCTAACACCATTGGGGCAGGTTTTGCACTTTATTATGGTGCCATTCCAGTATCTTCCACCACATTGGTGAGTTGGTCCAAATCCTTTTGGGCATGATATGCACATCTTGCAAAAACAGCCCTCTGGTGGGTCCAAGCTTGTACACATCTCTACTTCCTCTGTCTTACATTTTCCACTTCCTGGCATGGCACACAGTCCAACAAGCACAAGAACTGTATATACGGCCTATGAATAACAATGACATTTATCTTGAAAAAAAGTTGCAATAATTATGAAATAGTAATAATAATAACTAAAATAATTATAATTAATTATGACAATGATAATTAAGAATAATACATAAACAATTAAGTGCCTTTGAGTATATATATATATATATATATTATATATGTGTCCACAGCCATTTGCAAAAATTATGGCCGCTTCCATATATATGTACATATCAAAAGCATATCAAAAATTATGGGATATCATCCCTGATATTTTTTTTCGAGTTGTCTATCTCTTGGGCTTTCCAAAAAAAATATTGAGAAAGATATCTCGCCATGTCTGGTATACCTGTATGTATATTTGAAACGGCCATAATTTTTACAAATGGCTGTATATATTTATATATATATGTATATTTGTTTGAGAAGAAAAAGTCAAGACAACATTTTTCCTGACAAGCGTGTTTCGATCTGCTCTACTTCTATGAATGTATTGAGCACTATTTTACGGAAAATTGATTCACGGATTTCTTTGTATATATATACACTTATTTCAATAAAGTTAGTCACCAAAAACCTAGAAAGCTGAGATCCCTGAGGATCATGGGAAACTTTAATATCAAACAAGTAAAGCTTTTCATACAATTTGCATCTTGAGGAAGCTCAGAAGAGGTGTGACTGTAAATGGTAAAAGATCTAAAATCCATCAACAGTTATTAAAGCGGTTGAAACATGTAAAATGTAACT